AGATGTGGGAGGCAGAGGATATTCTTCACCTCATGGTGGACAGGAAGCTAGATTGAGGAAGAAACTGGAGACCAGGTATAACTTTCAAAGGCATGCCTCTTTGGGGCCTATTTCCTCCAACTACATCCCATTCACTAGCTAGAACTAGTCATTCAACACATGGGGTCATGAGGAGACTTTTCACTTTTCAACCATAACTGTGGTATAATCAGCTGTTCATCATCACACACTTCTGGAAACTAAAGGCTAAGATCAAGGCACTGGTAGGTCCAGACCTCTCTGAAGCACTAGGGGAGCATCTGTTCCAGGTATTTCTCCTAGCTTCTAGGAGTTCCTTGGCTGTGGCAGTAGGGCTCCAGTCTTCCCATGGAGTTAGTTCTGTGCTCATTTGGCTCTGCATCCAAAATTTCCCTTTTTTTATGGAGACATCAATCTTATTGCCTTTGGAGCCCAGCCTTTTTTGTATGATCTCATCATAACTAATTACATCTACAATGACAGTATTTCCAAATACGGTCACATTCTTCAGTACTAGTGGTTAGAGTTTCAACATATGTGTTTATCTGTCAAGAGTTGGGGAGAGGGGTGTAAAATTCCACCCATAATTGGGTGGGTTTTCCTCTGTGCTATCAGTAGAGGCAGAAGGAAACTGCCAGGTCCAGCGTGTGTCAACTGCTCCCTCCCTGGTTTTCCGTTTCCCTTCCATACACCCATGGCTTGATTTAAATGTTTGCCTCTTTCCCTGGAAAATTGGGAACATTATCTCTCAGGTAATGGAATAATGTTCCCAGATGTGCTAGGAACAGATGTTTCCAAATCTGTTTGGATAATGGCCTCAGATTCAGAGTAAGATCCAATTCTATGTAGTACGCTCATAAGCATGTGTTTATACAGACCTCATGTTATGGTTTGGATCTGAAATATTCCCCAAAGGACATGTGCTAAAATCTTGATTGCCAGGTGGTGGAGTTATTGAGGGTGGGAGCTGGGTCTGGTGGAAAGGATGTTGTCACTAGGGTCATATCCTTGAAGGGAATAGTGGACTCCTGGTGCGCTCTCTGTCTGTCTGTCTGTCTGTCTGTCTCTTTCTCTCCTGGAGGCCCTGAGGTGAGCAGCTTTGCTCCAACACTTGCTTCCCACCATGATGTTCTGCCTGCCTCCCATGTTGTCCTTGATCTGAAAGCAATGGGACCAAGCAACCATGGAATGAATTCTGAAACTTTAAGCCATTATCAATCTTTCCTCCTTATACATGCTGACAGAGACAAAATACCTCATCTGAAGTGTTGTGTCATTGCTGAATAATGCAACTTTGTCTTTCTGAATCCACAACATCCCTCTAGCATAACAGTGTATCTATTTTTGAGGTGAGTAAGGCGCAGAAACGTTAATTTATCCCAAACTGTAGCATGAGCAAGTGACAGAGCTAGAAATGCAGTCCATCTGAGTAGTATTTTATCCTCCTACTTACCTTTGTGGTTCTGACAGCTGACACTTGAATAATGAGGTACAACTTGAACCCTATTCTCATTCCAAGTCTCCCCACTACACTGCTCTCCCAAACTAGTTTTTTTCCTATGAATGGAAGTGACCATGACTTCTGAGGCTGAGCATGCAGTTACCGTAGGTCCCTGTTCAAATCACAAATTGACCTTGTCCCATCACATGTGTGTACTATTGGAGCTTTTAGACTATTGGAACTTTCAGACCCCTAATCTACAGGATCTGGGTCCCACTGAGAGTGTCATGTAATACAAAATATGCAAGGGAATGAATTGGCTGGTGGTGCAATGCGACCCAGCTGTCAAATGCATAGGAATTCTGAACAAGAGTCCTTGTGACTGACAAAGCCTTCCCTGGGACTGCACAGTTCCTTCCAGGAGCCTCCCTACTGCTTCACTGGAAAAGAAGGCAGATCTTGGCTCTGTTTTCATAGGACACATCATTAATTTTGCACCCATCCCAATCCCTGCAAAAGAAGAAAACAGGCAACGGGAATATTGGAGATAAACAAAAAAAGCTCTACCACCCCAGGAAGTCCTCAGTGTTCTAAGACAAGAAGATAAAATAACAGCTCCATCTGGTACTCAGGTAAAGTAGATTCAAGCCTTGGTTTAACAAGGTGACTATAGATCTTTGGATTTGGCCTATATGGGGCAGCAGGAAGCATTTCTGAAGAAAGTGACCATTGATGCTCTTTGATGTTCACTGGCTGGTCTGAGTGGTGAGAGTTGTTTTCTCCTGGGGTAATGTCAGGTTGAGTTCTTGTCCTCTGTATATAAAACCTCATTTTGAAACTCTAGAGCCCTGGACTGGAAAACTCCAGGGAAGAGGGAGAAAGCGATTTGAGGATAAACGCAAAATGAAGGAAGAATATTCATGAGGAAACAATAGATCACTCTCCAAGGCATGACTTCTGTTAATCCAGAAATTAAAACTTTTGGGTGCATGTGCTGCATACCTATAATCCTAGTTACTCAAGGATTGAGGTTCAAAACCAGCCAGCGCAGAGAAGTCTGCAAGAATCAGGTTCCCTACCTGTGCCTGTGCACCATGGGGTACTTTTTGCTTGTTTTTGTTTTAGTTTCTGAGGGACAGGTCTCACTCTTTAGTGCAGGCTAGCTTCAAACTTGAGATCCTCCTGCCTTACCCTCCTTAGTTCTGGGATGATAGGCATGTACCATCACACCCAAGACATTCTTAACCAAAGGTTCACAATGTGGTCATAGGAGCTTCAACTTCTCAAAGCTGGAAAGCTGGGAGTTGAAAGAGAAAAAAAAATAGTATGGCCAGGTTTCTAAGTGTCCACAAGAAATCAAGTTGGGCAACCACACAGCCTGGAACTGGAAGAATACTGGCAGAGTGAAGGTTCTACTCTAGTTTTTTTAGGAAGAGAAGCTGAGGCCCAGAGGAGACAAGCGATGTGTTCAGAGTCACACAGCTCAACAAGAGGCACGCCTAGACTTACAGAGCCAAAGGTCAGTAATCTGGTGCTTTTCCCACCTCACCTTGTTCTGTACTATCTTAAATAATTTTTTTTTTCTTTTTGCTTATGTGGTGCTGAGGAATTGAACCCAGGGCCTTGAGCATGCAAGGCAAGCGCTCTACCACTGAGCCACCTTCCCAGCCCTATCTTAAATAATTTTTAAAAATTTGAAGAAAGAGATGTTTCGTTGGTGAGTGTGGGAAGGCCATCCACTTTGTTGTCGTGGTTTTGAAGCATGTTGCCAGCTATTGGGGTATGGCTGGACTAATCGTCCAATGTCAGGATGGGTTTGAAGACACTTTATTATTAACCATAACTGATAACAGAGGCTCTAAGAGGAACTTGTAGCATCTTTAAAAAAAACAGTTAATTTTATGCATAGATAGAAATAGCCCCTGACCAAAGCACCTGGCATTTCCAGGTCGGGACAGGCGACTTGACTGACCAGTCCGCTCGAGGGACTGCTGTTCCAAGCCCTAAGCCTCCCTTGACTCATTTACTGATCCTCTGCTTCCCACAGTCGCAAACCCTCACCGTGTGGGAACTAGATACGAAGTCCCCCATGACAAACTCCAGCCTCAGCGGTGCAGGGGCTCCAGACAGACAGACAGACACGCACGCACACGCACACACAGATCTCGGATTTCTCGTGGCCGGCCCAGCTTCCTTTTACTCCAGACCCCTCCCGCCCGGGAAGCCCTGGAACCAATCAGAACGCCGGGGGAGCTCGGGGTTGTAGAATCCCGAGCCCGAGCCCCGCCCTTCTTTGTTGCGGCGGCCAATGGACGCATTCAGAACATCGGCGGCTGCCCGGGTGACTCGGTTATCTGTCACAGAATAACATTCGAGAATGGGACATGGAATGAGGCGACGATCGCCGCCGCCGCCGCCGCCGCCGCAGCAGCAGCACCCCCCGCCGTGCCCGCCGCCCCGAGACGCGCTGCGGTCATGAAGCCGGCCGGCCGGAGGTGGGTCCCCGGGCGAGCTGCGCGCGTCCTTCCCGCGCCCCGCGTCTGCAGCCGGGAGGGTGCTTCCCACGCCGCTCCCGCCCCGCCGACCCCCCACCCCACCCTTCCACGCCGGCCCCGCGCTGGAACTCGGTGGAAGGGGGGCGTGGAGCGCGTTCCGGGGAATCCGGGGCTGGAACCGCCCCCAGCCATTCGCTGGCGGGGGAGGGGGGGGTCCTGGGAAAGAGAGGGTGGCGCGCGCGCGCGGGGTGGGGTAGGGGGGGCTTCCTGGGGCAAAACCCGGCCGCCTTTGCAAGCCGGGGCCGCTGCGGCGCCGGGCGCTCACGTGTCCGCACGTTTCATTTAATTTGAAATTAATCAATTATTTATTTTGGCTTGGCCCGCGGCTCAGCCACGATCTGGGGATCGAGGAATGTGCTGCGGGGCGTAGCGGGGACCTCCGCGTTGCTCCACGCCACCCGAGTTTGTCTGTCTTCTGCCCACATCGTTTCCCCCCCCCGTCCCTCCTCCCCGCCAACCCCCTTGCGCACCCCCCTTCCTCTTCCCCTTAACCATCCTCGCATCCCTCCTCACCCCCCTCGGCCTCTAGATGTGTATGAAAAGTTGTGGTCAATTTTCATCCACCTTTCTAGGTAATCGGCCAGGCTGGAAGCTCGGATCCCATCCTTCGGTGGTGGTGGTGGTGTGTGGGGGGGGGGGGGGGGGTGAGGTGGGGAGGGAGGGGATCTGGCCGATTGCGAGGGGAAACCGAGAAGGGGGTGTGACCTGGAGGACTCCCCTTCCCCAGCCCTCTCCCCGCGCTCCCTCCCTCCCCCATGGCCACTTAGCCCGGGTGTCTGCTGTCTCCGCTGATTTCAGGCACCGCCGGTAAGCGGGAAGCCCGGCCGCCCCCGCCGAGCCCCTGCGCCGCTTCCCCTCCGTGCGTCCTGCCGCCGCCGCGCGAGGCATGGAGAAGGCCGGCCTCGCGGGGCGCTGACCCCCCCGCCGCGCCCGCGCCCGCGCCCGCGCGCGCGCGCCCCCCGCTGCCGCCGCTGCCGCCGCGCGCCATGACCGGCTCCGCGGCCGACACTCAGCGCTGCCCCCACCCCAAAAACGCCAAAGGCACCCGATCCCGGAGCAGCCACGCGCGGCCCGTGAGCCTGGCCACCAGCGGGGGTTCCGAGGAGGAGGACAAAGACGGTGGGGTGCTGTTTCACGTTAACAAGAGCGGCTTCCCCATCGACAGCCACACCTGGGAGCGCATGTGGATGCACGTGGCCAAGGTGCACCCCAAGGGGGGAGAGATGGTGGGCGCCATCAGGAACGCCGCCTTCTTGGCAAAGGTCAGTGGCCGCCGCCGGAGAGGGTGGGATGGGCGGTGGAAAGAGATCTCCGTGTCGGGGGGTGGGGTGGGGGAGTGGGGAGAGTCCCGCTAGGAACTCCAGGTCCTCCCGCCAGCTCTTGCCTTCATTGTCAGCGCCTTGTCTTGGAAGCTGTCCTGGAACTGAGAGGTTGGGTTGGGCCAAGGTGTCTCCACGAAGCTCACTCCTTTCCTGAAGGCCTTGTATATCCTGCGAACCCGCCCGCCACACCAGCCCTGCTGAGAGCGCAGACGTCCCTGAGGATCCGCTGTGCTTGTCTCTTGGAAGTGTCTCGCTCCTCTCCCAGCCCCCCTTCTCGTAGCAAATGATTAAGTTGTGAATGAATTTGCAGTCAACCAGTCAGTTGACTCATTTCTAGACTTTCTGCCAATTTTTTTTCTTCTCTTTCATGACAGTGACTTTCACCTCTGAAACTTGCATAAACAGAGATCTGGCTCTTCTTAGCTTATCTGGGATCAGAATGGGAGGGGGGGAGGAAGAGTTTTGGCTGTGTCTTAGAAGGGACTTTCCAATACACTCGATGAATTAGTCTTTCTGGATAAAAGAAGAGAGACTTCAGGAATGAAGTTCTCTTTTTACCTTGGAGAGAAGCCAGTGAGGCGATTGGGCTTGGAATCAAGAATATTATTACAGAAGGAGGGGGGGGGATAGCTGCCTTCTAGAAAAATTCAAAATGTATGCTGGGGAGAGATGCTGAAGAGCCTGGGCGCCTAACTGTAGCGTCTCTTGGACACTGGTGTGGCCGAAATTCCTGGACAGGTCTAGGAATAACCAACCCGAGACCTAGAAGGCCATCTGGTAAAGTCCCCAGCCTGGTGACAGCTGAGCCTCTGAGCCTGCCAGCCAAGAGGCTGCGTGTGCCCTTGGGGATGTGACAGAAACAGTAACTTCCTGCTGTATCAGTCAGTGTTTTATTACTCTGCTGGTCAAGGAAGTCTTCATTATGCCCAACTAGAAGCTTGTCTGCTTGAATGCCATCTGCAATTACCACTTGCTCAGTTCTCCTTGAACACAAACAGCGCTGTTTCTGGTTTGCAGTGGTGAATTCAGAATTTTTCTTTACTTTCACATGAGCAGCCCAAGCCCTTAAATGTGGAAGAGATGGCCACTGGGGATAGGGGATAGTGTGGCAACTGACCCGTGTTGCCTCTCTGACTCACATCCTCAGCCCCCTTCCTGCCTCTAATGGTGTCTTCAGCCTTCTTCCAACCTTGTATGTGGAAGCCTTTATCCACACGGGAACTATGGAATCTTAGTATTGAATCTCTTTTTCCTGAAGACTGCCAGGCAGTGAGAGGCTCACCATCCCAGGCAATTCCAGGCCTAGCCAGATTTGATTGTGGAGAAGCTTTTTACTTTGTATGTGTGTGTATAGAGATAGTGGGGGTTGAACTTAGAGCCTCATGCTTAGCTCTTTTTCTCAAGGCTGATGTGCTACCACTTGAGTCACAGCTCTGCTTTTAGAAGCATTTTTTGTAGACTAGAAACCTACCACACACACGTGCGCGCGTGTGCGCGCATGCACACACACACACACACACACACACACACACACACATGCCCACAATTACATTTTACCATTGATCCTGGTGTTGCTCTTTGAATCAGAACACAGCATATCACCTTTCTTTGCTGCTTACAATGATCTTGAATACTATGAGATGTTGTTCTGATGATAGAAATCAAGGTAGTAAATTCTAGTCCTGGCTGTGCTACATCTAGCTTTGCAGTCAGGTCATTCATTTCAGATCTCTAGCTTTGCATTTCTTATCTGTGAGATCAGAGTGGTCCAGGTTTTAGCCAATGTTCTTTCTAATTCTAAAATCCCATAACATTCGATTTGTGAGTCTCTGGATCTCTAATGCTGATCTGTCTAGCAATCTACTAAATCATGAGCCCCCAGAACCGTGACGCTCTGTCATTCTACATCTTCCTTTGGTCTTCTTTGTCCACCAGTATCACCTTTCACCCTTTCCTATGTGTCACAGTTCCCAGACCAATGGACACTCCTTCCTTGGCCACTTCCTAGGATAGTTGCTAGTCTGAGTAGTTTAGAACATAGAACTTCTGCTTCTGAGACCTGCACCTGATTTGTTCAGTGTTATAGCTGAATTCTGTTCTTTTTTTTTTTTTTTTTTTGTCGGTCGTGGGGCTTAAACTGGGCCTGGGCGCTGTCCCTCAGCTCTTCAGCTCAAGGCGAACGCTCTACCATTTGAGCTACAGCGCCACTTCCGGTTTTCTGGTGGTTTATTGGAGATAGGAGTCTCACGGTCTTATCTGCCCGGGCTGGCTTTGAACTGCGATCCTCAGATCTCAGCCTCTTGCGTAGCTAGGATTACAGGCGTGAGCCACCAGCGCCCGGCATGAATTCTGTTCTTAAACAAGAAAATTCCTAGCCTAGTAGAGTGGCTGCCTGCCTGTAATCCTGGCACTTGGGAGGTGGAGACAGGAGGAGCATGAGTTCAAGTCTAGCTTGGGATATAAGACTCTGCCTGAAAACAAAACATTATTTGTTCTCTAATACAGTACTGTATTATCATACTGTACTTTCATAGTAACCCAGGGGTCACATGACAACTGCTACTCAGCCAGGATTTCTCCCACCCAAAGGTTAGCAGTTGGACTTTTGAATCTGAATAAAAACTTAAATATTTCCTTCTTTTATATTGCATCTTAGTCATCGGCTCTCTACCTCTAATACCATCACGGCTTCTCCTTGGCCCTCACTTTCCCCAAACGTTGGCTTCAACCCAGGCCCAGACATGGAAATGATTCTAGAAGTTCCTGTGTCTAGAGCCTCCATCTCTCAGACGCAAGAGCTGTTCCTATGTTCAGCTTGGCAGACTTTCATCAGAAGCCAAGTCTTCACCTTCCACCAAATCAACTCTTGCTGAGAAATTTGTACAGAAGAGAAGACCTAAGAAGGTCACACCAATTTATGTTCCCTTCATCCTGTAGGAAAGCGTTCTTGCCAGCAGTGGTATCTGCATCTCAGAATGTCCTTGCTAGCTGGAAAGGTGGGAAATTATATTTTACAGAAGCTTTCATTTGCATTATTACTTTGAACATTGTTTCAATTATTTATTCACCATTCTGTGGTGAATCATCCTTTTGTGACCTTTTCCTTTGTTGTGGTAAAACATATGTGACACGGAATTTACTGTTTGAATGAACTGGAGTTGTGCAGTTGCTCTACTTAGGATCTTTAATGTCCCCCAATGGCCCATATGTTGAAGACTCAGTCCCTAGCTTATTGAGAGGTGATGGAACCTTTCAGAGATGGGGCCTAGAGGAAGAGGTTTGGGTTATCAGGGTGTGTCCTTGGAGTATTGGGATGTTGACTCCTTCCTGTCTCTCTTTGCCTCCTGAAGTGAGCCTCTCCCATGAGTCCTTGTCTACCACACACTTTTGCTATGTGCCACCTAGAGGTTCAGAAGGCAACAGGAGGTTCAGAAGGCAACAGGATCAAGTAACCTTGGAAAAAAAGGTGCAGGGAGGGACACACACACACACACACACACACACACACACACACACACACACACACACACACACACACACACACACACACACACACACACACACACACACACACACACACACACACACACACACACCCATGATAGATTCCGGAGGAAATATCCATTGGTTTCTTGCAGACTCGAGGTGTTTTATTGGGTCTCACTCTCACATTTCTTCCAAATTGGGAAACATTCACACGTAAAGTTCTTCACTATGCCTGGGTGCAAATGTGTGAGTGAGGGGGACAAGACTTTGCTGCAGGCAGGGCTCCACACGGAGCCTGCCCTCTGCAAGTTCACATGGGCAGCTCCTTCCCTCCCTCTGTCCAGGCCTGGAATGGTCTTGTCTATCCTGTTCAGCCTGAGTTGGTGAGAGGACCTCTATACCAGGGCCCTGATTTGGGTGCCCGGAGCCCGTATCAGGTTCATGGGTGCTGCTCTGTGCTTCTCCCATGTTGTGGGGTGGGTTCTTTGTTTGGAGCCTGTGCTGTGTATTTTTCAGAGCAGAGATAACAAAGCACTTTGCTTTCTCCTGGTTCCTGTCACAGATTGCTAGTTTCTGGGCCTCTTGCTGCCTCCCTGGCTCCTTGCCTGCCCTCCCCTTCCCTCCCGCATGTTACACACCTGTGCTTCCTCACATCCTTCCCTCTTGCTTTCTTCTGACAGCCCATTCATGGTTGGCAAGAGTAGGGTGGAAGAGAGACTGGCCGCAACAGTCTTGCCTGTGATTTGTCTTTTATTTAGTTAAGTTTTTTATTTATTTTTTCTTTTCTTTTTTGTCAGTCATGGGGTTTGAACTCAGGGCCTGGGTGCTGTCCTTGAGTTTTTTTTTGCTCACGGCTAGTGCTCTACCATTTTGAGCTACACTGCCACTTCCGGTTTTCTGGTGGTTAATCGGAGATAAGAGTCTCACAAATTTTTTTCCTGCCTGGGCTGGCTTTGAACCATGATCCTTGGATCTCAGCCTCCTTGTGTAGGTAGGATTATAGGTGTGAGTGACCGGTGCCTGGTATCTTTTTCTCTTTTAAGTAGCACTGGGGGTTGGACAAAAGGTCTTGTGCTGTATAGGCAAACCCTCTACCGCTACTCGAGCTATAACCTCTAGCTTTGTGTTATTCTTGTTCCTCTTGAACTACCATTTTTTGCCCACTCACCTCCCTCTTCTTTTCCTCCCCAGTAAGCCTCGCTGGGCCCCTCCCTCTGGTCATAGGCCCATAGTTCCTTCTGGATTCTACCTCAGTCAGCTAGAGTATTGGCAAGGCGGGATGAAGGTAGCAGAAGGTGATAGCATTGAGAGGGAAGATCATAGAAAATCAAAGTTGGCTTTCAGGTTGTAACTGGTAAAATCCAAAGGGAACTAGCCTGAGGAGAGATATTCAATGGGGAAGAAGAAAAAGAGTAATCCTAGGCTTTTCCTAAAAAGGCTAGACCAATTTATGTTCCCTTCAGTACTGTAGGAAAGCATCTTGCCAGCACTGGGTTATCTGCATTTCAGGATGTCCTTACCAGCTGAAAAAGTGGGAAATGCTATTTTACAGTAGCTTTTGTTTGCGTTAAATTTTTGATTTGAACCTTTTTTTTCAAATATGTATTCACTCTTTGCATTTATTCTGTCACTCATTGTCATTTTGTGGCTGCTTCCTTTGTTGCAGTAAAACACACGAAACACTAAATTTATTGTTTGAACCAGTTGAAGTTGTATAGTTGCTCTAGTTCAGTTCTTCAATATCTTCCCCCCTCCCCCCCCACTCCTCCCCCTTGTCCCAGGCCTATGTGTGTGGAAGGCTTTGTCCCCAGCCTGTTGGGAGGTGGTGTAATTTTTCAGAGATGGAGCCAAGAAAAAGATGTTAGGTCATTGAACTGTGTCCTTGAAGTGGGTATTGGGAACATTGAGTCCTTCCTGTCTCCCCCTTTGCTTCCTGGCCACCATCAGGTGAATGAGTCTCACCTACTACACACTCTGGCTGTTTGCCAACTAGAGGTCCAAAGGCAATAGGATCAAGTGACCATTGGCTGAAATCTCTGAAGCTATGATCCAACCTTTTCTCTTTATAAGTTGTTATCTCAGGTGTTTTGCCACAGTGATTGAATTCTATGACCTGAGGACATTCACATTTCTGTGCTTGTTATACCACTCTAGGACCTTTCCTTCCCTGACACTTGTTCAAATTAAGCACTAACTCCATAAGCTACTCTCTGCCTGGTCCCCTTGGCAACTGTTCTTGCAACTGTCCTTGCAACTTTCTGTCTCTATGAAACGGACTACTTTAGGAGTCTCATTTAACAGGAATTGTACATTATATGCCCTTTTATGATAGGTGTATTTCACTTAGCAAAATATGGTTATGATGCATCCACAGGTTAGCCTTTTTAAGGCTAATATTCCATGATGTGTGTATATCACATTTTGTTTATTTGTTTTATCCATCCATAGACGAAACAACTTGGATTGTTCCTACCTTTGGAGAGACATGGAGGCCTCAAGACTTTTCTTTGTATGAATTCTTCAGAAATTAAGGATATTAATTCACCATCACCACATGTCCCCAGGGGGAAGTTGATGTTCTAAATTCCATTAGCATGTGAAGCTCTGGAGTTAAGTGTCCAGGAGCTCAGGACCCTTGCTGAGTCTGATTTCCAGTTCTTGGAAAGGGAATGGAAGCCATTGGGGCCTTCCTGGTCTTAGACCTCTGACACAGTTGGCAAGGAGTAACAACACAACCTGCACCTACTGATCTCCTGTGTGCCAGGCTCTACTCTGCCTGCTTTAATACAGCAGTCTTGGATTTTTCACAGCTGGGAGACCTGAAGTAGATGGTGTTATTCCTATTTTATCAGGAAGAAAATAGAGGCCTAGAAGGGTTATGTAGCTTCACTGAGGTAGAAGACAGAGCAGGGATTAGAACCTGTCTCTGTGTGTCTCCTCATAATGCTCCAAGAAGCCCACCAGTAGGAACACTGGCAGCCTAAGGCATTAGTCAAAAGCTCCCTCATCTGAGCCCAGCCAGGGCGAGTTGTAGCCGATGACATCATCCTTTGCTCCTCTCCTTACTGCAGCCACGAGTGGGGAATGTATACATTTGGCCTCCCAGCTGGGAGCAAATGTGGCCACATTTCCATTGCTCTGCTCACAGCCAGGCTGAGGTAACTGTGCAGCTGTTTTATAAAGCCCTTGGGCGCCATTGGGTTGCTATTCTGAGAACCAGCAGCTGCCTGACTCTCCTCCCCTCCCCACTATCCGTCCTGTAGACCCTATGACCTTGAGGGGAGTTGAAATAATGCGGTGGTTGGACCCTCAGCAGCCAATAACCTAGTTATAGGCTATGCAGGGCAAGCTATGCGCCCTTCAAATTTCCCCACACTTACCAAGTTTTTTCTTAAGTAGATTCAAGCACTTTTCTGTGTAGCACCATACATAGCTTAATAAGCTGAAATTTCTTCCTCCTTTCTTTCCTGTACTCACGCTTCTTGTCCTCCTGAACCTGCCTATAGAGGGATAGTGGTAAGGTATTTGTTCCCATCTGTCTTCTCTTCTGTCTGTGAAATTTCTGACACCTTCTTACACAGAATTCCAGGTATAGGTAGACCCGTCTGTGGATATTACTGCAATATCAAGATAAGCTTGATAATTATTACATTTTGAGGGTAGAAATACAAAGACACATTGTGTGTGTGTGTATGTGTGTGTGTGTGTGTGTGTGTGTGTGTGGTGTAAAGTCATTTTGGTGAGAAGAATGTTCCAGTGTGAACATTTGCTCCCATGACTCTCCCAGCCAGAAATGTGATTTATTTGTGTTGAGGTGTTATAAAGAAAGCATGGCTTGCAGAACAGTTGTGCCTGTGTGTCACCCACACAGCCACATTCACGGTCGCGCGAGCGTACACACACACACACACACACATGCCTTGACGTAGAAAGTGTGACTAGTTTCTCTTTCACTGGTAGCTGCTGTGAATTGAGACGTCTCAAAGCCGTGGTGGGCTAGAGGCACTGAGAGGAAAGCAGGTCAAAGAACAGCCTGAGGGGTATAGGTATGAAAAGCCTTTGCCCGTGCCCGGGGCAGCTTGCCCTCCGCTTACTCGAAAGGTTTGTGCCTGGAGAGCCAGTGAGAGAGCCAGGAACATACTGAGGCAGCGTCTGTTTTTTGCTGCCCACCAAGCTGTCCAGGGCTGGCCCCCAAATCTCACCAGCTTCCCTTCCTATCTCGAATGACTGATCCTGGGGACGGGGGCTCCCTGGCCCTGTTTTCCCCAAGGAAAGGGCTAATCTTCCTTTGAGCTCTTTCTGCTGTTCCCTAAGAGGCTAATAATGCTTGGAGGAATCTCCCTCCTAGCTCCACAGACGCTAAGCTACTCTGTCACCAGTGACTCATCTCACAGACACGAGATCGGGAGACTGAGAAACATAAGGGAGGAATAAGCACATGCAGAACAGAAAAGCTCAAGTATACACACAACAAAGGGAAATCAAATCATGGAGTGGTTTGGCTTAGTGTGGACCAAGAGGCAGAGTAGAAATTAAAGTTGACCTGGCTGCGCTGAGGGGTAAAAGAGTAAGAGCCTTACCTCCTGAGTCTGAAGAGCTGCAGAGAGCCAAGGAAAGAAGAGGAATCATTTCTAATCCATTTAGGGAAGGGACCCAGTGGCCACTGCGGGAAGACATGGTGCCCCAAAGCTCCATGATGCAACGTTTCCAGGGCATCATTGGCCTTGTATCCTGTGCAAATGATGCCTAGAGCAGAGCACATACAATGGAAGGTTGCACATTGTTAACCATGCACCAAAATATGTCATGCAATAAAAATAGCAGAATTCAAGGTATACACTACCTCTCTGTCCATTCTAGGCCAAGATCTATAGGACTTGGTTCTAGGACTAAAGAAGCATTTCAACTCCCATGAGGGAGGCAATACCTAAAGAACCACAAGAAACCTCTCCCCAAATACCGGGTGTCTGGTGGGAGTTCAGACCGGGAGCTTTGATGAAGAACCAACCGTTCTGAGAAGATCCGGTGAAGCAGGCACCCCTGGTGGTTTCAGTGCTGTGCCCAGAGTACCTCCTTGATAAAAAAAAAGATCTCTCTATTTCTTCACAGCCTTCCATACCCCAGGTTCCAAACTACAGACTATCAATGACCATCCCAGATTGGCTCCAGGCAATCCAGAATTACATGAAGACTCTACAGTATCCTTCCAGCCAGGATCTGAGCAGACCTGGGAGGGGTAGGCATGCTGATTGCAAGCTTAATGGCATGTCTGTCTGTCCCCAGCCAAGCATCCAACATTCTCTAAGGTTGGTGAGGCCAGGCATGGAGAGAGATTCTTGGGTGAGAGCCTGGAAACAGCAATAATGAAGGATGTCATTGCATCTACCAGGCCTTTCTCCCCTCAAACAGCGTGAAGGCGAGGGCAGAAAGGGGGAAGTGAGGCAGGTGGTCTGCCTTTAGTGCCTCTGGCTTCTTTTCCTCCCCTCTGACCTCCTGTGTTCTCCCAGCAGTGTCCTCTTCCTCTGGTTTTCTCTTCCACTTCCTTCCTCTTGAACATCCTTGTTCCTTAACTCTTTTCTACTGAATATCTTTTTTCACTCTCCCTCTTCTTTTTTACTGTTCTTCTACTTCCTGCTCACCTGTTGGACTTGGCCCCTGACCTCTCATGAGCTGAAGAGACCCACCTGCTATTGTCTTTGGCTCTCCCCAACCCAGCCTGGTGAACTTGCTGAGAAACTGTGGGGTTCAGGCTGAGTTGGGGCTAGCCAGATTGGTCCCATCCTTCTCCGGGGTCCTCAGACTGTTTGTGGTCAAGGTTAGATCAATTGCAGAGCTCACACAGACAGTACAGTAGGAACATAGCCAAGTTTTCCACCTTTGAAAGGATCTGGTTTTTAATCATCCTTTCCTCTGACCCATTACAGTGGTCGTTGGCCTACATCACTGAGCAAGCACAGGGAAACTGTGGGTACTGTGCTGCTGGCAGTCACCGGGCCTTTGGAGTCATTACTTAGGGAGGCAGAGGATAGGCTCTTTTTTCTGCCTTCTGATCTGATGCGTTTAATTTCTTTGTGACTCTACTGATTTGGAGAGAAGAGTCTCACAGACTTCCCAGGCTGGCTTTGAACCTTGATCCTCAGCTGTCAGCCTCCTGAGTAGATACAGGCATGAGCCACTGGTATCTGGCTCACAGCTTGTATTGTTAATAGTCTTACAGTCAGTATCATGCCCTGGATCTTACGCTGGAGCCTTCAATTCAGTAATTTGAGGTGGAGGATTCTGAGTAGCATCCAGGTTTAAGAATCATTGCCTGAAAGCACAATCTCTAGGGTGTGCCTAGAATTAAAGTGTTGAGCCCTGGGGATGGAAGTTACCTATGCCCATGTCAGTGCTGTGAGAGTTTGGAGTCCTGTAGTAGGCTCAAAAAATGTGGGACGCAGCAAATCTCATGCACCTGGCCTGGACTGCAGCAGCTCTGGCCACACAAGCTCATGCTTCACTAGCACCCTCCCAACAGGAACTTTTCTGTGGTTGCTTTTGTTCTGGTTTTCTTGTATATTTGGGATCAATTCCAGAGCCACTACTAGACAAACACTACTACTAAGCTACATCTCCAGTCTCAACAGGCATTTTTTTCTATAGGATTTTGTTTGAGACAAAAGCACAAAACGCACAAAGCTACTTTTAGTTAAGCTCAGAAAATCAAGATCCCATGTCAGAAAACAAGGCATCAGGGAATCTCAGAATCACCTGGTGCATGCCTGCTAGTCCCAGAGAACTGGGCAATCAAATTCAAGATGTTCATAGTGGTGCCATCTTTGCAAATTAGTCAAGTGTCAGTCCATGAAAAGATGTTTCCACATGATGTTTCTTCTGTGGAGTCTGCTGTTGAAAAACCTTACTATTGTTTATCTTTCTATCCATCCCATCCATCCATCCATCCATCCTTCCTTCCATCTATCCATCCATCCATCATTTCCATCTGTCCATCCATCTTTTTACTCATTAATCTTTCCATCCATCCATTCATTCACTTATTTCTTATCTATTAATAATAGATGCCAACTTGTGGCTTCTTCCAGGTTTTATAGGTATTCTAAAGATAATAAAGGATGGTCCCAACTCTCAAAGAGCTCATAGTTGTAGATGAATTAAGACATGTATTCAACTAACCATAATACAGAACAGATTGACAAAAGCTATCATAAAGGTTCAAGGTACTTTGGAGACCTCAACTAGAAATCAGAATTCTTGGGCTGGGAAGGTGGCTCAGTGGTAGAGTGCTTGCCTTGCATGCGTGAAGCCCTGGGTTCGATTCCTCAGCACCACATAAGCAGAAAAAGCCAGAAGTGGTGCTGTGGCTCAAGTGGTAGAGTGCTCCCCTTGAGCTGAAAAGCTGAGGGACAGTGCTCAGGCCCAGAGTTCAGGCCCCCTGCGACTGGCAAAAAAAAAAAAGAAAGAAAGAAAGAAAGAAAAAAAAAAGTAATCAGAATTCTTGGGAAGGACGGTGAGGAGTTAGAGGAAGAGCTATCTTCTGATTACTGGCCACTTTTGCAAAACACCTCGTTCCTTACCCCATTTGAGACATGATGGTGAATGTTTTCCTTTGCTAGATGACTGGGACTTTTGGAATTTTCTGTCATTTTCCCTTTACATACCTCACACAGATACAATCATACGGGGACCCAGTTCTTTGAAATTAGGAAAATGAGACCGCTTAGTGGGTAAGTGGTGCATGATGTGTGGGCCAGATGACCTCTCTCCTACCTGAGAGATGCTAACTCCCTCTTCCAACCTTTAACCTTATGCCCTAGTGCTCAGAGATCCTGGTTTATATAGGGGAGAGAAGGATGGGGTGTCCAGGACCAGGTTAGAGGTGGGACTGAGGATTGGGCCCTTTTGACTAAGCAAAAGACTATGAGGCCTCCTTTATTGGTTCCATTGTAGGCTCCCCTGGTCTATGCGCAATGGGAGGATGCTTTGGAACACTGGTGCTCTCTCTAGGAAGTATGTCTTGGAGAGTAGAGTGGAAAATTGAGGATTTTAGTTTAGCCAAGTGCAGATATGCTTTTGTGTATTCCTATGAAGCAAGGTCTCCCTTCTCCCTCTATATTTCTGCATGATGCCAAATGTGGAGACAGGCATGCTGATGATTGACAGGTAGATGGGCTAATTGCACAACTAAATAAGGCCTGAGGTTCTCTCTTGTGCTCTCTCCTACAGGTTAATGGAAACAGCAAAAGAAATGACCCGTGAATCATTGCCTATCAAATGCCTTGAGGCTGTCATCCTGGGCATGTATCCTTTAGTTATGTGTGCTTAAGTTTACTGCACACATGGTGACTGTACTGTGAGGATGGGTGTGTCTATAGTGTCCTACATCCACAGAAATGATGCTCATTGTCTCCTTGGAAAGTATCAAACTCTGCTGGCGTTCCTATTTTATTGTACCAAAATTACTCTACCATGTTAGCTGTAGCATCTGTCAGGATCAGCCATCAAGCCAGTGACCACACAGATTCACCAGTCACCGGGAGCTCTTAGAGCTCTTCCTGGTATTAATCTGACATTGCCCCAAGAAAGTTAGTTTTGGGGAAGTGGTCTGGCATGCAAATCTATCTTCAGGAGACATGTAAGAGTAGATTATGGGAGAGACCAAACACTGGAAGTATATCTTGATGAGTTACAGCTGACATAATGGGCTAATCTCTCTCCTACTTTCTGTTCCATTTTCTGGCTTTTTGGCTTGGGAGGAGTATTGCTCAGAACAACTGAGATGAGTCCCTTATTGGTGGTGATGGCAATTAAACATGACTGGATAGAAGAGCAGAGAAACTCCAAGTCTCCTGGAATGGGTGGGTGGAAGAGAGAGTGGCCAAAGTAAAACAGCGAGATCTGAGCTTTGGAGATAGTCCCAGGTGGAACAAGTTGGATGTGTGAGTACTGTGTTAAGGAGAGACCATTTCCTAAAGGCCGTGGGGGACCGTGGAAGCTGTGAAGCAGAGGAGTGGTAGGGTCAGATGTACTCTTTAGAGAGAAGCTTTCTAAAGGACAGACCAAAGAAGATAGAGTAGGGAAAGGTGGTACTGCCTCTTCAAAGCCCATCGGAAGCTCTTACAGAAGAGGATGGTGATGTTTGAAGCATGGCCCTGGCATGGGTGTGGGTTTGAGAGGGTGTTCTCGAGATGTCAAGGAGATTGAGTGAATAGGACTTAGAGACCAACTGGATACTGGAGTTGATAAGTTAACAAATACAGATTTCCTGACTTGGCCACAGTCTCTGTTGAAGATGGGTTGGAGAAATGAGGGTGACAGATTCGTTAGTGGAGACTTGACTTGTGACAAGTAAAGGTGGAGGGAAGGGAAGGAGACATATCAGTGTTACTGTGGACTTATGTGAGTTGAAGAGTTAAAAGGGGAAAAGAGGTGGCCTTACACTCCTTGCTTGCACTAATAGTGCCACAGCCTAAGAGAAGGACTTGAAGGGGAGGATCAGACTTATGGGGGTATGAATTGAGTTGGACTGTAATGAATTTGGCTTATTGAATTTGGGATATCGGGATGGAATATTTGCAGTGTAGGGCTGACATGAATCTGTACAGGAAATGCAAAATTGTGAGTGGTTGGGGAGGGTTGTGAGAATGGGGGAGGGGTTGTGCTTCCTGTTCAAGAAGAGGTGAAGCTGATCAAAGATGAAATCGGAGTAATTCCAGTTAGATATAAAGAGCCCTGAAGAAAGACAGGAAGGAAACTCAAAGAGGTAGAAGGAAAACCAGGAGACAAGAGTTACAACCACAATGGTAGGATACATGGTTGAGAGTTAGACTGGGAAAAGTAGAGGCATCTAGTCTATTTTCTTGATCTCCTGAGCAGTTTCTTTTTTGTTGTTTTTGTGTGTTTTTTTGAGTTGCTGGGGATTGAACCCAGAGTCTCATGCATGTTACACAAGCACTCTTATCACTGAGCTAGAGTTCAAGTCCCAAAGTTTCATTCTTTGTAGGGTTTTATGGTGTGTGTGTGTGTGTGTGTGGTGTGTGTGTATGTGTGTGTGTGTTCTAAGGTGGCACACAGGGCTTCTCACATTACTACTGCTGGACATTTCCATGGGACAGGGAATTTCTGCTCCTTTCTGCCTTCTGTAGAGCACTCACTGGTATAGAATAAGACAGTTCACAGGTGCTTGAAAAGTGGACACTTAAGCCTTATTGAAGCCCCTCTCTCCCCCTCCTCCCTCTCTTTTGTCTGCTTCCCACAAAGGAGAAGAAACTTGTGTCTGGGGAGCTCAGCAGGAGGTCAGGGCTGGGGTCTGGCAACAGATGGCTCAGGGAGGGCCTTAACTCTTGAGTGGCAGGAATCAGCCACAGCTGTTTAGCAGGGACTCTTGCAAGTTTAATGGCTTGAACAGCCCAGGGATCTGCTGGTAGAAATCAAAGAACATAAGCCGGGGCCCTTTGCTGGGTAGATGAGCTAACTTCAGTTGCTTTGCTGCTGGACATCCGAATGTACTCAGACATATATAGGTCATCTTGTTCTGCACAGTTTTATACATCTAAGCATCATGTCACTGGTTTTAGCCACGACCTTTGGGGATTGTGGAGAACAGATTTGAGTGACCCTGCCTCTGGGTTTGTGCTGTTGGTTTTCCTTTGTTCTTACCCATGTGACTTTGCAGAAAAGGGCAAGGGAGAGTGGGGGAGATGCAGCACACACTGCTGAACTCAGGGAAACCTGAGTCTTGGACACAGACCTACATTTAAGTCGCAGCATCTTTGCCTTCTCTTTGCTCGGTGTCAGCATCCTTGTGTCCCCTCGTGGACAGTGAAGGATGACTTGCGACCTCCTCTGTCATGGGTCCTAGGAAACAAGCAGTGCCTTGGGAGTTTCTTGAATCTAGTCAGTCTGGCTGTATGGAAGCTACATCCATTCACCTCCTTCCTGGTTCCTTCTTTTTACTTCAGCCCAGAGTGTGGGATTTGTCTGTGATAAGTCCTGTCTTGCACACTTGCACACTTGCATTCTGGATACATAGATGTTTGGCTTCAAGTTATTTTCTCAATGATGGCACTTATTTTGAAGGGGTTTGTTGACCGTGGTAAGCCTTGCTCATAGTAGCATGGTTTGTGAAAGCAACAGGTACATGATGAGAAGCAGGTTATCATTTCCCCCAGAAAGCTGGGTGTTGGCTCATTTTCCATGGACTTTGGGTGCTGTCGCTCTCTTCTCCCTAGAAAAAACTCAGGCTACTTCCTGCGCTTGTCCTTCCTCTCCCTTCCTTCCTTTTCCAGGCCCCAAGGCTTTACCAATGGCTGTGATGATAGAATTAAATCCTAGAGATGAGTGACTTGGGACCTGGCTGACTATACTTGTCCCCTAGGACAGATGCCCATATTACAGTCCTAGTAGGGGTGAGGAAACTTTTCCCTGCCAAAGGCCACCATCTGAATATTTATAACATTATTTTGCAAGCCATACAAAATTATTCAAGTGCACAGTCCAGGGGCAGCCAAAGAGAAGCCTGCACGTCTGACCCAGCCTATATCAAATAGTTTCATGGCCATATCTGGCCCACAGCCCGGATGTTCCTCCATCTCTGCTAAAGAATGCTGGGTTTGCCTCTCTCACAGCCTATGGTTGTTTTTCTTTTCTTTTATTGTAGTAAACATGGCATAAAATTTACCATTGCAACCATTACAAATGTTGGGTTCAGTGATAGTAAGAACATTTATAATGCTATGTGCTGGGTCAAAGCCAAGATGATGGTTAAGAGGCTGCTACCAAATGCACATGGGCTGGCGAGTGGAGAGAAGTTGAATGATGTGGGTTGGGAGGGAGCAGCAGCCTTGGGTTTTGGTATGGAGGCCGTTTTCTCGTGCTACCCCAGGCTCCTGCCAATGAGGTGCACATGTGACCCTTTCCGCCTCTTCTCCTCCCGATCACCAGTCAGCACGTGCTTCACATCTCTCTATAGCCTTGGTTCTGGGTTTCATTTCTCTACTGGGCCATCTCATTGGCCTTCAAGTCCTGGTATTTCCACATACAACAGTCCCAGCCCATTTTTTGAATGTACAAAAAAAAAAGGAAGGAAGGACAGAGGGAGAGAGAGGAGAAAGAAACAAAGAAGTAGAGTTGGACAGTTGGGCATACATCTGGGATTGTGCCATTGTGGCTCAGGCACAAAAACACAAGAACCTACAACCAACCTAAAGCGAAAGGGTTGGAGGTTTAGGCCAAGTGACAGAATGCTTGCCAGACAAGTGTGGGACCCTGAGCTCAAACTGCAGTTCAACCAAAACCTAAAGGGTAAGGTAGCCTGTGATGTAATCCCAGCACTTTGGAGGTTTAGGAAGGAGGATCGTGAGTTTGACTGGCTTGGGTTATATAGGGAGACCCTGACTCAAAAAAAAAAAAATCCAACAACAAAAGCTCCCAGTATCTTGTAGAAAAATAAGGAAAAAAGTGACTTGTAACTGTTTTTTTTTTTTTTTGCATTTAATAACTGAAGAAGATAGCTTGTTTTCCCTTTGTCCTTGGTCATTTGGTTTCAGCAGTGAACACTGAGATCTCAAGCGAATGTCTTAGAAAAGGATTCATCTGGACAGGTTAGATGTGGCTCCTCAGGGCACCCCTGGGAGATTCTGTCCCTTCCTACAGCTCATGCTCTTTCCAAGGTCTTTAGTGTTTTCCTTGACTCAGATTGTTTAAGATACTTAACCAATGGACAGCCTTCCATCGAGCGATTCCCCATCAGCTTTAAAACCTACTTCTCAGGAAACTACTTTCACCATGTTGTGCTGGGAATTTATTGTAATGGCCACTATGGCTCACTGGGCATGAGCCGAAGGGCTGAGCTGATGGACAAGCCATTGACCTTTCGGACTCTGAGTGACCTTGTCTTTGACTTTGAAGACTCCTACAAGAAATACCTGCACACAGTCAAGAAGGTCAAGATTGGGCTTTATGTCCCCCATGAGCCTCATAGCTTCCAACCTATTGAGTGGAAGCAGCTTGTCCTCAATGTCTCAAAGATGTTGAGGGCTGACATCAAGAAGGAGTTGGAGAAATATGCCAGGGATATGAGAATGAAGGTAGGTACTGGGTCAACAAAGAAGTGATCTGTGAGAGCGCGCTCTCCATTTCTCTCTCTCCTTCCCTCTTTCTTGCTCCAGGTCCTACATTTCTTTGGTTCTTCTTGTTTAGTGGTCACCCTATTAAAGTGAAAAATATGCCACATTATTATTATGATTAGTTTATATTAGCTATGCAGAGGGGATTTCACTGTTATATGTCCACACATTTATAATATATTCCAGTCTCACTCCATCTAAGGCTCTGCCATCTCCCATCTCCTCCCTTCCCAAAATAATTTCAATAGGTTTCATTATTCTATTTTGATGGTTGCATATTTTGACCATATTCATCCCTCCCACTAATAATATACATCACCCAATAGAGCTTATTTCTCTTTTCCCATTCCCCCAAGTCCCAAGTCATTATTATTATTTTTTGTTGGTACTGGGGCTTGAACTCAGGGCCTGGGTGCTGTCCCTTTGAGCCATAGCTCCTACTTCTGGAGGAGGTATTGGAGGCAAGAGTCTCACAGACTTTCCTGCCCAGGCGAACTTTGATTCATGATCCTCAGATCTCATCCTCCTGAGTAGCTAGGATTACAGGTGTGAGCCACCGGTGCCTGGCCCAAGTCATTTATTCTTAAATCTTTCTTCTCACCTTTCTATCTTCACAATTTCAGCCAACTTTGGATTAAAAATAATTGCAGCTGTAGTAAATATGTACAGGCTGTTTTTCTTGTTATTGTTCCGTAAATAGTACAGTATGACAATGACTTAGGTGGGATTTACTTGGTGTTGTCTTGCAGTTGGTCTAGACAGACTTTAAAGAATACAGGAGGGCATAAGTTATATACAAAGACTACATCATTTTAGATAAGAGACTTGAGCATCCTTGGAGTTGGGCATCCATGAGGGGTTCCTGGAACCAATCCCCTGTGAGGATCCTGAGAAACAGCTGAACTTCAAATCCAACAGCCAATACAAACTTAGACATTATAATTAAAGAAATGTCTTGGTCCTCAAATGGTAGTTCTTTTGAACTGGACCTCCAGTTCTGTCTGTTTTGTCTTTACAGTAGGATGACCAATCATTGAGAAGTGCATGAGGGGCTTCCCAGAACATGAGCATCTCAGTACTAAAACAAGAAAAGACTCTGAAAACCAGGATGGGTGGCTTCTCTGCTTTAGGATCTATTTCAGAGTCACATTGTATTGCTGGTCTGGCTTCTAAGCTGCAAAGCCCTTGATATAAAATTCAAACCTGGAGTCACCACTGCAGGCGAGAACTTTCACTAAGCTAGCCTCATGTAGATCTTTTTACCTCCACAGTGACATAATACCGGCTTGCTCCTGTGACTTCCAGGACTTGCCAAACTGCTAAGAGAAAGCTGGTGCACACTGAAGACCCAGGGGACAGGGGTCTGCTGACTTCAGGCTAGGTTATGTTTAGCACCCGGGAACTTTTCATTCTGCAGGAACCTGGAGTGTAGGTTTTGATAAATTGAGACCATACTGCCTGTGTGAGATAGGAGAATCACAGGAGGCTGGTTTGGGAGGCCATGTAGATGAGACTTTGCTCTCTTGAGGAGAAACTTCTAAGCAACTAAACATAGCACCAGAAAACTGAAGCACTGGGCTCATCTTAGTGTGATCATCCTCTAGAAAAGTAGTATCCTTGCCTTTTCCAGGGCAGAATTGTTCCTGCTCTGTGCCATCCTTTATTTATTTATTTATTTTTTCTACAGGGAGGAATGAGAGGAGATTTGATCTAGACAGGCATTCTACTACTGAGCCATGTCCCCAGCCCCTGCTCAGTGCTTTCTAAACCACAAGCTTATGGATGAACTGAGAGCTAGGATGCTATGTGGTGGGAAAATGGAAGGGTGGGGTGGGGGATTTTTAAGGAACTATGTGAATCACTCTTCATCTCTTCCGTAGATCTTGAAACCTGCAAGTGCCCACTCACCGACCCAAGTGAGAAGCCGGGGAAAATCCCTGTCCCCTCGGAGGAGACAAGCAAGCCCCTCAAGAAGGCTTGGCAGACGAGACAAGTCGTGAGTCCTCTTTCCTCTTATGCAGTGCAAGGAGCTCCCCATCTTCAGCTAGGGTCAAGCATCTTATGAAGATGCACCTCTTCCCCCCTCCCGAGAGTCATGTGCAGAATGGCTGCAGCTAGTTTTTAAGAAGCATTCCAGTTGGATCCATTTCACTTAGACCCATGAGGACTTTGCAGTCAGGGACACATGAGGTTTTTAACCAGGGAAAGATACTAGGATTGGTGTGAAGACAAAAGTCAGGTTGAGGTCAAAAGACTAGTGGTGGCAGCTGGTGGTGGACTGAGGAACGTGTAGGACAAGGGCAAGTTTGAGTTTAGACTGTGGAATTTGAGCTGCTTCCTACATATCCAGGAGAAAGAGCCAAGTATGGTTATGACCCAATAATTACACTGGTCCAGGAAACCTATTGTGGGTCTGTCAGCACCAGGAAAGGATCAGTGACACCATCCCTGTGCTATTATTTTAGTATCACATGTGGCCAGCAGGTCATTTCTAAATGTGTTGGGTGCCAGCAGGAAACTCGGGAGTAGCCCAGCAGGCAAAAAAAGGCTGATGGGCCTCTTGTAACAGGCCAGAGGCTCATCAGTGGTAGGGCTCTGGCCCCTGACTGGATAATTTTAGTGTCTTTCTGTCCCCCTTCCCCCTCCTCCTTACAGCTGGGGCTACTTCCAGCCCTGAATTCTGTCTCACTTTTGCACTTGTCTGAATAATCCCTTCCGAAAGGAGGATCCGTGTCAACCGGGTTGACACAAGAGTCAGCTGAGTGGGAGGCAAGAGATGACTTCACCAGAGTCTATTAGGATCAAATTTCCAGAGCAGGATGGGGCTCCCCCTGCTTCTACCCCCATCCCTTTTCTTCCTCTGCTGCCCTAGGAGTTTTTATTTTTTTTAACTTCAAGCTTTTTGTTGCAGTAATTGCTTTGATATGAACATGCAGCTCCCATCAGATACATGTGGATGAGAACAAACTCCAGGATTATGGTTTTCCCTAGGAGTTTTTAAAGCGATTTTCCCACAGAATAGTCATGTTTCCCTCTGTGATTCTTTTCTTTTCTTTTTTGTTGGTCATGGGGCTTGAACCTGGGTACTGTCCCTGAGCTCTTCAGCCCAAGGTGAGCGTTCCACCAATGAGCCACAGTGCCACTTCTGGTTTTCTGGAGATAAGAGGCTCACAGACTTTCCTGCCTGGGCTGGCTTTGAACCATGATCCTCAGATCTCAGTCTCCTGAGTAGCTAGTATTACAGGGGTGAGCCACTGGCAGCCAGCTGTGGTCCTTTTCCTTTTCCTCCTCCTCCTTTCTTCTTCTTCCTTCTTCCTCCTCCTCCTCCTTCTTCTCTTTCTTCTTCTTCTCTCTTTTTTTTTTTTTGGTGCTTGTCCTAGGGCTTAACTCAGGACCTGAGTATTGTCCTTGAGCTTAGTTTTTGCTCAAGGCTAGTGTTCTATCACTTGAACCATAGCTCCATTTCTGGTTGTTGTTGTTGTTGTTTTTGAGTGATTGGAGATGGAATGATTCATAGACTTTCCTGCCTAAGGTGGCTTTGAACCATGAACCTCAGATTTCAGTCTCCTGAGTTGCTAGGATTATAGGCATGAGCTACTGGTACCTGGCTCCCCCATGACTCTTTAAAGGTAGGGAGATGAAGACTGAGGTTTCATCTCCTGTTCCAAAGCCTTTCTGTGAATTCAAACCAACTCCTTTCTAACTCTGGGCCTCCATCCCCAGTAGGTCTCCACTGAAGAGCAAGGCTAGGAGTGTGGGAGCCTGGGGAAGTGGTGCAGGGCTGCTCAGGAGGCCAGGGTGAGAGGATGGCTTGAGCTTGTGAGTTAAGAGACCAGCCTGGGCAACATAGTGAGAATCTGTCTCAAAATAAAACCACCTGGTACTTAGGAGACCAAGACCTAGAGAACTGAAGTACAAAGTTGGCCTGGGCATAGAAGTCCTCGAGACTCCATCCCCCAAACCAGCAGCAACAACCAGGGCTGGAGGTGTGGTTCGAGGGGTAGAGTACCAGCCTCTAAGTTCAAACTCTAGAACAGGAAAGGAGGAAGGAACACCTTTTGAGAAGCACATTTGTGCTCTGAAGTCCTTGTAGGCATAATCCATCAGCACCCAGCTTTTGTGCTTTATCTTTCTTTTTTCCTCCATCATTATCTTCATGGTAGCTTACCCTGCTGGAGCCCCTCAGAGTTCCAGAGGTTAGTAAACCCCACTTCAAGATAAAATTTCCCTTCCTACAGGGCTACAAGCTGGACAAACTCCTGCTCCTTTCTGTCAGGAAGGGTTATGCATGCGCAGGCATCTGGATGCGTGAGCAGAGGCTGTTTAATGACGACGTCACAGGGAGAAAGTCTGATGCCATGGCCTCACTGCATCTAAGATACAATGAATGAGATCAAAGAAGTCATTATCCTTGGATCCTAAGCAAGAAAAACTCCCCAGAGAAATGTTCCTTTAGTGTGAAAGGCAGAGGGGAACTTAGAAAAGAGAAAGAAAAGTAGGAAGGCTATGGAAGGAAAAGCAAGCCTCTCAGCTGATGTGAATGAGCTATTTCTACTCCCCTGGCTTCCCTCACTAGCTCCCTGTTGCTGAGAGACCCCAGGGCTGCTTGAAGAAACCAAGATGGAATGGTGGGCCTTGTCAGGAAAGATTATGTAGGGCCGAGGGAGCCAAGAGCTGGTCTGAGCCTTGCGGGTCAGACAAGGTCAGGGTTTCTAGAGCTGAGAGGTTCTGACTCATGGAAGGAAAGGAGAGGTGACATCAGAGCCTGCCAGTGGTGCCCCGGAATCTCAAACATGGCCTGTGGCTCTTGGATGTTGGCCAGAGCCTTCTGCCTGGGGAGGGCTTGAGGCACGGAAGGACCCAGGGCAGGAGAATCTCTTTGGAGCGGAATCTGTTTTAGCAAAGTCTCTCCGTTTACATAGCAACTGTCATCTGTGGGCCCTGTCCGCTGTGCTGCCATCCTGGAGACAAAGAATGTGAGGGAGGAATGAGACTGGCCTTGAATGAGGGTGACAGGTGTGAATGAACCTCTCCTCTACCTAACTGCTCTCTCCTACTTTGCCTCAGTGGCCTTCCCAGTAGGCCCAAAATACTAAATTGGGGCCTGCTTGCCTTGCTCTAATTCCTGCCAGAGTTGGCAAGAGAGGAAGGCCTATCTCTTACCTGGACCACCAGCAATTGGCCGATGCTGGTGTGTGAGTGTGAGGGTGTGTATTTACTGCCAACTGGGCAGAGGGGAGGCTGGGGGTTGTGGAGGGCCCTAGAAGCTTTTTTCCTCTTCAATTTTTATTTTCTTTGGCAGTACTGGGAATTTGAACTCAGGGCTTCGTGGCACTTGCTAGGCAGGCACCTTCTTTCAATTTTTTGGTATGGTCTTACCTTTCCCCCCCAGGCAGACCTGGATCACCATCCCCTACTGATGCTTCTTATATAGCTACAATGACAGGCACCACACCTGGTTGAGATTGGGGGGGGGGGGTTCTGTGCGTACATGTGTGCGGGGGGAGGGGGGAGGGGGGGAGGAGAAGTGTTCTCTCAAACTTTTTGCTTGGGTTGGCCTTGAACTACAATCCTCCTGTTCTCTACTTCCCAAGGAGCTGGGATTACAGTAGCTTAAACCCTTACACAGACACACACCAACTTGTGTTTCAGCCTCAAGGTGCAGTGATATATTACTGCAGTCCTTAAGATGCTGCCATCCTTTTCTGGCTCCAAGGCTTCTTGTGGCTTCAGTGGCTACTGGCAGCATCTAGCGCAGAGGTTGCTTCTGTGCATGAAGCACCTGATTTGCCACTGTGAAGGGGTACTTTCTATAGCACGTACCCATGGTGCTGTCCTCCCAGCCTACCTCCCCCTCACAGCCTGGGTCCAGTTGGCTCCTGGGGTACAGATCTGAAATTAGGGTTAAAGGTAGGGAGATACTGGATGGGCAGCTGTTTACCCTAGCTCACTCTGGCTCCATGACAATGGACATGTTTGGCATCACCCTTGTGTGCTGAGAGAGGAGGTCTTATTCTTCCCACAAAGTGACTCAAAGGAAATTTAGACTCTTCTACCCCTCTTCCTCCAGAGTGCTGTTCAAAAGCCCAGGAGAGAAAAATCCTTTGCTTTCTTTGCCCTTGTTTGGACTCAGAGGGGCTTGGAGAAATGCGTTGTTCAGTGTAAAATAATAGCCCAGGATCTGATGAGAGGATCTGGGCAAGCGCAGACCTGGTTGAATCATCATCTTGGTGCCTGTGTTCCTTAAAAATAACCCCCTGGCAAGGTTCTAATTATAAATTAGGGAGCATTGGGAAGAGGTTTCTGCATGCCCAATAGCTCAGCCAGCCCTGGCCCTGACATGAGCTGGCTACTGAGCAGGCTTTCTAGCTGGGCCCTGGGGCAGGTGCGGCCCTTTGCCATGCCAGAAACTACAGCCATTGTTGCTGTGAAAGGGTTTCATCTTCTTCACCATCCACCAGGACTCTCAGCTTTGTTTGCTTTCTGCCAGAATTTACCCCCACCCCTACCCTGCCCGCTTCTAGATACCTAAGTGGGTTGGGGACCATGAGGAAGAAGAAAACCGTGTCTTTGCTTTGGGAGCCTATGAGCTATCTGTCATGACAGAACTACATTCAGCTTAGTAGGCAGATCCTATACAGGTTAAAATTTGTAAACAAACAAAAACCTCTTTTTGTTAACTCTTAAAATTAGCAAAGCAACATGAATTCCTGGCTTAGCACTTAAAGTAGTCCATGATCATAGTAGCGTATGAAGCCCAATCTTCCATTTACATATCAGAGACCTCAACTATTCATTGAATGGTAGGTATTCAGTAGTGGGATTCATAGATGAATGTACTTGCGTCCTGCCCTTATTCAGTTTCTGGGACAGACCCATGGATGGTGGTCAGTAGGAAACAACACTTAGTAAGTACTGGATTTTGAGTGTCAGAAATTAGAAAATGCTTCATGGTACTTGGTGCCATAGGTTGGACTTGAAGACAAGACATAGGGA